CCCATGAGGATGTCAACGTTGTGACCCAGTATGCTCCGGTTCGGTGACAGAGCATACACCGACTTGCTCGATCGCTTTACATATAGCAAAGTGTTACTCCGCACGTGTCTGTCTGCGACGGCCTACAGGTGACTTGCTTTAAAGTCACGAAATATTAGCACAAATCCGTAGATATGACATTCGATGGGAATTAGTACTGATTAGATGACGGTGAAATTCCAACCAGATACTGGAATCTTCACTGCGGATCGCCCCAGCCACCGCAGCCAAAAAACTGGTTGCTTTAGAAGTGCATAGTTTCGGATCTATTGAACGCATATGAAAATCAAATAAGGATAAGGTTATTATTCCGTCAGAAATTATAGTTCCTTTACCAAAAGTACGATTGAAATAATTCTGATTAACAAAACACCTTAGTAAAGAGCTTTCTCCGTCATCTTGCTGCAGTCTTCTTCCGCTCAACCCGCCGCAACGACACGGTAGTGGGTGATTTATGTCAGTGCGAAATCGGGTGGCTGCTGTGCGACTGCAAGTACGACGGGGATTAGGCACCTTACTGTAACCGGTTTTAAGTTCTTTCCACCACTTTTCTGCAGACTAGCAAGTTCAGGACTAGCGACTGACCACCCTTTTTCTCTCCACCATCGTAAATTTGCCGCCAAGCAAAATGAGCTTGCATGTTTAGGTGGGTCTCAAAACGTGTTCTGCTTGATGATGACAGACTGGATCTCACAAGGCTGGGTAATAGTGGCCAATAACCAGTGTCGTTCGACAGTGTGACTGAACAAAAACGCCCCCGCTGATGCGTTTTAGACATGCTCACACGCAGTTCCATCGAATGTGAGGGAAGATTGAAGTAGTTATTTGAAAATACCAATGAGACGGCGGATTTTTAGGTTGTTTTCTGCTCCGCTCTGGTGTTTTTCCAGATAGGTTGGTAAGGTTCCCACTGCGAGATGTGCTGAGCTCAAGATGCAGGGTGACATTAGGTCGAAAGATGCTATCTGTCCGTAAGTTGGACGCAATACAGCTTTTGTGAGTGTTCTGCTGTGAGGAGGGCGGGAGTTCCCCTGCCCTGGGCAGAGGTCCTACTCTACTTCCTACACAGGTGCCGGCCAAAAGTCAAGGAAAATGTTTTGCCCCGTTCTTTTTGCTGGTTTGTCGCAGACAGACCAGACATTTGCAAAATTATTAGTTTAGTACATATACACAGAGAAGGAGGGAGAGGAGGAGAGGCAAATTCCAGGCTAAAAATGCGTCACAGTGATGTTTGAAACTCTCACTTGAACACAGAGTCAACAAGAAATGAACACTGAGAGTGACCTTCAGATGCGCTATCTCCGATGATGCGCTCGAGTATGAGTGGGAAACGTCAGATGAATAATTCACCATTCCCAGAGCTCGCCTTACCGTCATCTTCAATCTCAACACCTAGGGTCAGCATTTTCGCCTATATCTACAGTAGATGTACTGACTCATGAAATGTCAACCAAAATTCCGAAATGCATTGTCGTTTCGAAAAGATAAATTAAGTAGTGTTGAAAAACTAATCGTGATGCAGCATAAATCTGTAATGATCCAGTTACCTCAGGGTGTCGGCTTTCGAAAGAACTTATTTTCGGCTGCATGCAAGATCTATACTCTGCAAAAAATGACTACTTAAGTAGCATGCAATTTTCTCATTGATTTTCGATGCCCTTGAAAATTTCAATTATATTTCATGGAAAACATGCATAAAAATATTCATTCTTTTACTCATTCGGTAGAAAATCACGTCTTCTTCCAATTTCATACGCAAAAGAAGAGTATAAATCGGTTTTAAAAAAGTTCCTAATTGTGAGATTTTTTAATACCGTTAAATGGCCGTTCATGAAACGTCATGTATTTGCATTTACGAATGTGGCTAGTAAAGTTAACAATATTGCATGCATTTCTCTACGGTGTTAAGAGTAGACCATATGAGGTTCATAAAATTAAGCAGTGGATTTGAGCAATATTGTTAACTTTACAAGCCACATTCGTAAATGCAGATACATGACGTTTCATAAATTTTCGACGCTGGCTATGTCGTCGTCAGACGTCTAGCAATGCGGAGAACAGTTGAAATTTTTTAACATGCTTAAAATTAATGCTCCTTTGTCATCCCTGCCATCAAGCCATCGCTACATGCAGTCATCTCGCTCGGATCGGCTGCCGCCTTTTCCATTGTTTCATGAAATTATAATGTACGACGTCTGATTGGATGCCGGTTCCCCAGGTCGTTGTCGGACATTTTAGAAATGCTTAAAAATCAATATTCTCCTGGCGTTTGCGTCAGTAAGCGGCCACAGTGTGATATTGTTGTTGGTTCTCATTTCTCCCATTTCTCCCTGGAAGTCTTGTAAGTGGCATCCGACTCAATGCGCCTACTGATGCATCACTCATTTGGGCGCATGGCCTCGGGAGACTCGACTTTTCATTGAAGGGCAGACGCCAACGATGCGTGTTTGTCCAAAACGGCGTGTCTGTTATCCAGGGTATGCACGGCCACTTGGGAAAGGTGATCTCGTCTCTTTACTGCCCGTCGATGTCCCCGAATACGTGCAGGGCGGAGGCTTTAATTCAACCACAATATACAGCATCACAAGCGTCGCAGGGAATCTTATATAGACTCCCTCCTTCTCCAAATAGTCCACCCTGCCCCTAAGATTTACAAGCTGAGTACGTAACGTAGTCGTTAGTTTGTGTCCCACGTAAGTACAAATACAAGGATTGGCACTTAGAGCACGTCATATGGCAGACAGATAAATAGGACACACGCAATCGTAAAACGTGCTGCTGGACTGTCGACCACCATTGTCGACTACGTGTGTCGCAGCGACTTTTAAAACCCAAGCAAAAAACGTTCGGTGAATGTAAAACCCCCATATTTAGGAAACTTTTAGCAAATTCGAGAACACATTTTTTCCCTCGATCAATACTTAGGCGAAAAGTTCTCAATGATTGAAATCAGGTTCAATTACAAAGACCAGATTAAATAGCTTTGAGGGAATTATTCTTGGCAAATACCTTCCGTGAAAAAAAAACCCAGTCAATAGAAAAAATACAACCTACTCTTACGCTTTCCCATTGGAAGACAAACGTACACATCTCAGGGAATTAACTGTTAACTACAGTTGGTCCCAAGTTTCCAAGAGCACAACCTTGAGCCCTTACATATTTTGAGTTTCAACTTAGCGCAGAAGAGCAGTCGCTTTTGGGAAGCACGGGCCGAATACACGCACGCATAACAGAATATGTTGAAGCAAACACAAGGAAGGACCAATCTACTCAGCATCTACGCCCGAAGCCGCCATCTCCTGGAGTTATGTAAGACCCATTTGCGGGAGCTCATTACAACAAATTAGCAAACAGTTAACGGATGAGTCTAACTGTAGGTAGCAGCAGCTCGCTTCTAGGAGGATGTACTTGCAGACCCCTTTTTGGAGCGCTTATAATGCAAATCGTATTTAAACTAGGCCAGGGACGCATCGTTTCTACTCGAAAGGACTGGCCACTAATCTGACTGGGAATAGTTTGGACAGACGAGCGAACCTGACCTCCCTATTGCCCATAGTGCATGAAAGAATTCTACCCAGAGGAGCTTATCGAAAAATTAAAGGGAACTTTTGATGTAGTCCGACGAATAGAGGCTCCTCTATGAAGAAGAACGAACTTAGCATTGCGGACCTCAGCAGATCAGTCAAGGCGCCCCAGTTTGACCGTCATGAACGACGGCGCCCACCATGTGCCCCACGGGGTGGACGCAGGAATGTGGCTTGCATGCAAATTGGCTTACAATCGGTGGGCTTGCACAGCATCCGCCGCACTCTCTCTCCTCCCTCACCAACCTGGCTCCGACGGCAAGACGACCAGAAGTGGACGCCGGCGCAGTGCCTGATAAAACTGGATAGCCCGTCTACGTGTGCCATACACGACTAACTCACCAGTACACGTACCAGCCTTTGGCGAGAACGACCCGTATCCCACATGCGTGAGCGTCATAAAGGTCACATTAAGAAGGCGCCATTGCAGCCTGACTCTCAGTCCATCAGATCGGCCGAATTATCCTGTCAAGTGATTATCCTCCAAGTCTTAAGGGGTCGTTGTAGGCTCAAGCGCGTGGGGGGAGGGGGGGTGGACTGTCCAGAATCGATCTCATTCTGCCTTTCTTCTTCTTCCACGCGCCAGTCGACTACCCGAGTCCGTCGGCCGACGGGTGAAGAGATTAGGCGCAGTGGTTGACACAGTGTGAAGGTGTCTACGCCTAGGCATACCACCACATTCTCCTCCATGCATGGCAACAGTTATGGGCGCTTGTGCGGATCCTGCGCAGCCCAATTAAAGTAAACCATTGGCCAATCAAAGCCCCTCTCCTCCCCCTTTTGGTCCGGAGCCTCTACCGCGCAACGTACTGTGGAGGCCACAACCAGGGAGGAGCACAAACAGAGAGAGACTCAACTGCCTCAAATTTCCAGCCAAAGTTCGACTCTACCTCGGAGTGAGCACCAACTAGACACTGATTGGAGCTGTGAAAGCTAGCAACACTATTTTTCGCCTTGGCGGTGGATTAAGGCCAAAGGGACTGCTCTGCTCTGTGGTTGTGCTTTTAAGTGGCCTTCCTGATAATAATTGCCCCCAAAGTCCTGGACATTATTTCGAAAAAAAGCATGCGAGACTTATTGGGGCTGACAGAGTGCCAGTTTAATTTTACTGGCAGTAAGGATATTCCGGAGGTATTATTACACAGGATAATATTGTAAATGTGGCATTGTGAACGGCAGAGGATAGTTTAAAAAGGAGGTCAGTTTACTTCAGTCTGGCGGTGCAAGCTTCTATGAAACAAAAATGCTGCCGGAAATTTTATTTTTGGAGTTTACTATTAGATGTGCTTCATCATGTTAGGATCGCGTAATGTGTTTTGCATTTCTACAAAACAGCTGGTTGTGGGAATCATCTTTGCCTGCAGTGTGGATACTGACATGGGATATGGACTCTTCGTCACTACCGTTATCCAGTGTGGTGGAGCAGCATTCATCGTAACTGCCCTTTCCCTTGACTGTGACCAGCAGTTTGCTGCCGTCCTCGCACACGCAACAGCTGTTTTTAATCTCGGTGAGTGATGTGCAATTCTACACCTGTTATACATAAGTAAACAAATGTTGCTACTATTTATCTAAAAGTAGCTTTATTTTACTTTTAGTTCTCGCTCCGCTCTGGGTCCACACTGTCGGAGTATATCTATTTGCACAGCCCATCCTTATAGAACGTCTCATCGGTCTATCCTCGCTAATTGTCCTATTTCAACTCTTCGGAGTCCTCCTCCGATGGAAAAAGCCCTCCGCTGCCGTCGCTGTGCTTACCTGGCTTAGCCAACCTCTCCTGCTTTTGGCGGGCATACTTTTAGTAACTCTTGGTGTCTACATCAACCAGTACGTGTTCCAGTATATAAACAAACAGCTGGTCGCCGCTCTCGTAACTACCCTGACAATGGCTTACGTCCTGGGCTGGGCAGTAGGTCTGGCTCTCCGGTTGGAGACACCGCGCTGCAGAGCCTTTGTCTCGCATGTATCCGCATTTCAGGGTTTTCTCTCGATCCCCATCTTGCGTATGAGCGTCCCCTCACCTGAGGGTGAGCTGGCATCCACAGTGGCTCTCTGGATGATCTTTCTCATGCCCATTCCTTTTGTATATCATGTCATAATTCGTCTTATTCAGCGAGCAGTACAGAACCTGAGAGAAGAACGACGGAAAGGGCATGTCAAATGTCGTGGGCCCACGGCCGTGCTGTGTGCCGATTCGCTGGCAGCGGTCGCTGCAACCGCCATAATCCAACCGGATCACCGGACTTTCAACGCTGGTGCCAACAGTAGGAACAACAACAACAATAACCACCATAACAGCAGAGTGGAGGACATCTTTCTGACAGTGCGTAGTGCAGACGCCTTGTTCGTCGATCGCCAGTCAGTATGCAGCGGTGAGGAGAATAGGCGAGTCGGAAGTGGAACCAAAACGCACTCCAAGAGCGTGGTGGCGTTCAGAGAGGGCATGGGTGAATACGAGCATGAACGTTTTCTCGAGTACGTTGGCGAAAGAAGGGTTCAAGAGCGCAGAAGGAATGGCCGGTCACGCAGGGTAGTTACGCGTCACTATGCCGAAGAAGCGGCATTAGCAGCAACAGGATCCAGGGTGCCCCCGACGTATCCCATCCAGCCACCTCCCCCAAAACCTCGTCACTGACCTTGAGCGACCTACATGCATCACATGAAGACCACATTCGAGTGCCTTTAACTGTCCTTCAACATGTGACCATCCAATTTTTGTATACAAATATGTACCTAAAGATACAAAGGAAATGTATCTGACAAGTATAAAAGCGCGTAAGTTTTAACGCGTGACTGGGGGGCTTGCGAAGTTATTTGAAAGCGTTGTTAAATGTCAAGCTTGACGACTAAGATGGCGTATCAGACTGGATAGGGTAGAGACGCAGCTTTTTGACGAACGACGGCCATAGTAAGGCTACTAGTGTCCCAGATTTTCCAACGATACTCTCTCGGTAGGGTGACTGAAAAGTTCAAAATGACAGCTTCAGTCGGCACGATTGGACGGCAACAACAACTATGGAAGGCAGTCTGTAATCTGGTGTGAGTTTTTAAGAGCTCAAGCTGTCCATTAACACCTACTGAAAGAGGAATTGACGTAGGAATTTGGATTTAGACACTATCACAAATCAAATGCGATACTGGTAGCTTTGAGTCGGTAAATAACACTCTAAAGTGTTCGGCAAGGGCTCCAAACCGTGTCCTGTAAAGGGTTGTTAAGCAACGAATTAAATTTTGGGCGACATTTCGCGGTGAACAACTATCAATCGCTCATATCTGTTACTTCCCGAAAAAAAGTGAAATACGAGCTCAATAAAGTATTTGAGAAGGAGACACAAGCTCTGACACAGAATTTTTCATTCGTCCGACACATCAGATTCACCTGACTAAGTACCTTGCTCGGGTAAAGCCTTGACACCAGATATGGCGCCGGAGGGAGGTAACTGGGCTTGACGTGAACAGTGGACACCGTAGCCTTTGTGCTCCTACTAGGTAAGGGCAGTTGTTATATCTGACAACAGATATGGAGCGTGCTAAGTTCTTGTCATCGTTGTCGTGCCGTTATTTCGAGCAAACGCTTGCATCAAAAGCCTGAGATAGGGTGGCGCGCGAAAAGTATTCTCCAGCAGTAAGGAATGCATATATAATTCTCGAACCTTTAGCTGCCACTTATTTGGCATTGGCCAGTGTGGCCCCGAAGTCAACGTGTATCAGTACGATGTCTTCGCTGGTTCCGTAAGACATCTAACCTCGGAAGCACAGACGCATTAAAAACGTATATGTGGAGCCAGCACACATCCTAGAGCAGTGTATAATGCGCATGTGTAAGTTCAGTCATAAATGCGCATTGTCGGTGACACCGTTTCGTTCGACCAAAGATTCTCCAGTAATCTGCTGTCCGGCAAAGGTCCGAGTGATGTCTGGTCCTCGTCAGTTGTGTGACCAGCACAACGTTTATGTCTAAATACCTCTGACCCCTGTTGTCTCCGAAACACGATAAAGGTGGGAATGGCGCGATTGTTTCCCAACAGAATCAAGACGCTGCGCCCTCAGACTATCTTAGTGTCTCAAGCGTCGTAGCTTGGAAAGTCTTCAACTGGCAGGTAAGCGCGGCGTCTTCTCGTGGTGACTTTAATAGCAAATCTGATGAAATCGGGCAAAGTATTACATGTGTCGTTTGAGGGCGACTGTACGGCGGTCTACTGCGCCCACGCTCATTTAGTTGTCATTAAAAAATTATGGCGTGGAAAAAGCTGGTGGACACTACATATAATCCCCGCAGCACAAAACAAAGCGCATGATGCTTCCCCGGCGTAGCGATTGTCACTGTTGCCGGCAACAAATTATCACCTTTAACACGCATAAGGGAATGGTATCAAACCCCAAAAATAAGACCTTCCCAACGCCTAACGAATCAAGGCGTAAGTCACAACTGCGTGCCAAGGCGCAAAGCTGATAAATGAATAGTACTTTGGAATACACAGTGGGGGTCATGCATACTGGGTACCTCTTAATGTGGCCCTATGGAAGCCCCTAGAGACGTGAGGTCGTAGTTACGAAGTCTGTTTTTAGTAGGCTGAGCGACCGGCATGTGTGACATGCGTAGATGATGCTTTTCTGTCAAAACAGTCGTCTTGTACCCTTCATGCCACCGAAGCACAAGTTTGACGGAAAGACAAGGCGAGGAGGATGTTGAATCTGCCTCCTGTCCAAGCTACCCCAGTGCGGCTTAATGACGTTTTTGACGCATGAACTACGGGGCTTTTGAATCGACGTGAATTAGTTAGGCTACTGACAAAAGTTGCAATCAAACCATCTGAGGCACTCTCCCGTCATCTAAAAGTCTACGGAGGGCTTACAATTGAAGTAATGGACATATTTTCACAGAGAGTAGAAGGGCCACAGCGTGTAACGGTGGCGCAAAATATCAAGCGTCTGTTCACCTTCTTGTGTAGGCGTACAATTTTCACAACCACACAAAAGCAGTTACAACAGCTGTTCTGAAGACGCTGACATTTTTTACAAGCAGATATGCCAGCTGCCTTAAATCTTTGTTATTTTTGTTGTCTAGCTAACTTTTGGGATCACTGAGCTTTCCTCGACCAATGCTGGATAGAAATAAAGGGAGTGTGTATGCGAACAGCTTAAGCTACATTTCGGCGTAGGTACGAGCGGGCAAGACGACGGCGACGGCATGTATAGAAACGATTAGGTGTTTTTTAAAACAGACATTTAACCTCGCAAAATTATGAGGGAATAGAAAGTTGCTGTTCGTACGGCCATGGTCATGCCTAATCAAATCTTCCCCGATGACACGGGAACCGTGCCTCTCCAGAGCCCCATTGATGATGACTTTATCCAACGTCGCTACTTAACTCGAGACGGCAAAGAGAACCTCGGCCCAAAACCTGACTTGGCACAGTCCGTTATGACATGGAAGTGGTTTTTAGGCCCTAGATATTCGGTCATAATCTCTGGAGAAGAGTGAGTCGAACTCTGGTTCTGCTATTACAGATGGTAACTCGTGGAGATATACAGTTGGCAGGATCGTTAGGCATGAGCAAAACCGTATCAGGCACAAATACATCCCGGTACACAGAGGTATTGAGGGGCTCGAGACGGGGACACTTTGATTCCTGACGATGCTAGCGCAGACGAGTATTCACTCCTATGTTTTCAGGCATGCAGACTGCCGTTTGGTCACAGACTATGACTACCATGAACTATCTTAGCACACCATGTCTGCATAAATGTAATAAAGATTTCGACCTATTTCAGATCATAAGGCGACTGTGCTGTCCGCTATTTTCTGCAGAAACGACAGATCTCGATGCCGACGAAGAAAACAATGTAGACTGAACATGTTTCTCGCACGCTGAAACTCCAGATAAGGCTATTCAGTTAAGTCTGTTGTTGCGGAGCTCCACAGGTCCCTGTGATAATTTCGGGCGCGAACGAGAGCTACAAAACCAATCTAATAATTCCCCCGACCAAGTCTTTTGCTCGCCTTGAAAACATTTTCTCTACTTAGTTATCAGCCGTGATAAACAGAATGGGCGAGGCGATGTGGACACTTTATAAAATGTAGCCCGTAGCCAGGCATATGCCAGTGCATAAGCGGCAACTTAGCAGGCAAGCCTATAGCTGAGCGTTATTAGATTTAGCACAGATGAAGTTTTGGGATGTTTGGAGTTTCGTTTAGATGACAAATGTAGTAAGCATTAATGACGGGGACCTTGACGGATTTCGAGACAGGGAGTAGTGGCCAAAGTGCTGCAAAGCAAACAATATCTTAATCCTAACAAGACTGAGCTTCCGGCTCTTAAAGATTGTGGAAATCCTGGAAAATGACGTAAATACATTCCTGCCTTAGGGCAATCCAGATCACAGGCATTAATAGGGCAAACTTGTGGGGGAACAGAAGCAACCTTAGATTTTTAAGCTAGCGTATGACTAGTTATCTCGGTTGACTGGCGAAGCGTCCAAAGCTGCGCGAGACAGTGTCTTCTTCAGGAGACTTTTGGGTGAATTTGGCATGCACAACGGATATGGAAGTCTCGGCTACTACGCGGCCCACCCAGCCAGTCAAGTCCTCTTTAACGAGACGGGACAGATAGTCGATGTGCTTCTTTGAAGATTCTAACGCTAGTCATTGGAAGAGACTCCCAGGCAGGTTGTGTTAAACACGATTCTACAAAAACGGCACCCGTAACAACCAGCGATAAACTATAGTTTATGTACACTATTGCACTATTGTGCAATGCTATCATGATCAGGTCTAGGTCAGAAAGAACTGCCGAAGTAACGAGAAAGAAATAAGTTATAGATGCAAAACAAGAAAAATAAAAAAGACGTACCACGAAGTGATATTAAATGCTGGGGGACATCCGCCTTCGAAGTCATCTTTCGGCGAGATGCAAAAACGACGAACTGGGAGCGCGGCGACCGTCCGCAAGCGTTATTTCAGCTTTTACACCTGAATTTTAGCCTGGTAAAACTAAGTAAATAATTTCAATAATTTTTCGCCATTTTAATTGTATTTTCTTGGTTTTTTTTCTCGGTTTTTTTCTTGGGTATTTTCTCGGTTTTTGTTTTTCTCTAGAAAAACAAAACCCGCTTTATAGGTACCCAAGAATATACAATTAAAATGGCGAGGTATTATTGAAATTATTCACTTAGTTTTACCAGACTAGAATTCAGTAGTGCGTGCTTAAGTTTGGTATCAGGATTTACGATCAAGATAAAAAAAGGCTGGAGTTAAAGAAAAAAGACCTCCTGTGAGGGGCTGCAAAGTGATGTTAAGGTTAGAATATTTGGGATCCGCGAGCCCTAATTTAAGCGCAGACACCCAGCAATGATTTGACCTTTTTTGGCATCAGAGGTTTATCAAATTCAGGCTAACCACTTGGAAGATGACGAAGTTTATTTCGCTTTCAGAATTCATTTGTTCGCTTGCGTTAGTCTGCGGAGTCTAATGCGTCCACTGCGAGCTATCCTCTTTATGAATTCCTTTCTATGCAGAGCTGATTTTCCAAATTTTTAAACTAATGTCCATATTGCGTCCCTCAGTGGCAAGGACACTTTGATTTCCAGCATTAAGGACAATATTCAGCACGAGTTTTACTCCTCAAAGTCATT